GGAAGAAGGAACCCACTCCCCTGAGTTGTCCTCTGACCTGTGTATGTGTGCTCTGGTGCCCTTCCAAAAACAGAGTAGAGTCAGAAAGAAGACTATGAGGCTAGTAAGATACTCAAGGTCAGGACTGCCTGCTTAACCTGGTAGGGTGTGGGGGTTGCATCAGAAGTGGTATAAAGTACTTAGAATGTGGATGTATTTTATGTTAGAACCCAGGAAACTTGTGAGTATGAGAAACTTTTACAGGGTATGAACACTTCTCAAGGTTTTGGTCTAAGCATCACAGTGAATGTTGGCACTATTTACTGAAATGCTAACGGAGGGAGTAGGTTAGAATTGGACATGTTGCATGTGTGTATACACACACACACATACACACACCCCACTGCTATTATTTTAAAAAAATATTTATTTTTATTTTATGTGTATGAGTGTACTGCCTGCATATATGTGAGCACACCCATGTCATGCAATACCCATGGAGGTCAGAAGAGGGCATTGGATCCCCTGGAACCGTAGTTATGGACAATTGTTAGCCGCCATGTGGGTGCTGGGATTTGACCCCAGGTCCTCTGTAAGAGCAGTCAGTGCTCTTAACCACTAAGCCATCTCTCCAGCTCTCCCACTGCCATGATTTTATGTGTGAAAGAACTGAGGGCAGATAAGGAGTTCTGGTAAGCTTTGAGGTGACCTTAGTTACCTTAGTCCTGGTCTTAGATTGCTTCTAAGTAAGTGCTAAGTTTTTTATTAATGATTTGATTTATATGACGATAGCTGATGCTTATCTAAAAATTCTTTCAGAAGAAGGGCCTGAGCAGGGGTGTTTTAAATCTTTGAGGCTTTTATGTATTTTAATTTAGTATGACAATGCTCAAAGAGACTAATACCTTATAGTCATTATTTGCCAAGTTATGCTTAAAGATTCAATCTCCTCTTCAATCTTCACATTCTTTTTTTTTTTTTTTTTTTCTGACAGGGTCTCCCTAGTCCCAGCCCACCTGGAAGTCACTATGTGGACCAGGCTGGCCTCAGTTTCACAGAGATCTTCCCGCCTCTGCCTCCTGAGGGCTGAAATTAATGGCATGTGCCACCACACCTGGCTTTCAATCTTCACACACTTAAAAATTTATTTTAATTGAATTTTTGTGTATTTCATACAGAAAATGATCTTTATACCCTCTTCCCCTTCGGTACCCCTTCCCCCCAAGTTCATACCTTCTGTCATTTGTGTTATGGTCTATCATGTAAAGTTAGTGTCCCCAGATGTCCCTCAGTGCAAGTTCATCCACTGGGATCTAGTCAGTCTATCAAGAGTCCCCCCCCCTTTAAGAAGATCAGCTCATTCTCACCCAGTGGCAACCAGCTGCCAATAATTCTTTGACGAAGATTGGGGCCTACTCTTTATTCCCACAGCTGTGTTTTTGTCTGCTTAAGTTTGCTTGGGTCTTGTGAATGCTGACACCATTGCTGTGGGTTCATATTTCCATGGTCCTGCATCTCCTTTCTGGCCCTTACAGTCTTTCTGCCCCTGCTTTCACATTGATCCCTGAGCCCTGGGTGGGTGAAGTTTAATGTAGGAGTCCGGTACAAAGACACACACACTCTGCAGATTCTTATTCTTTGAGTTTTGACCATTTGTGACCTTTTGCATTCCTGGCTCTCTGATGCATGAGGGAACTTCATTGATGAGAATTGAAAGATGCATTAGTGTTCTCTTCATCCCTTGTTCAATGTCTGTGAGCCTTAGTTGTTGAGGTTGCATCCTAGATGTGCCACTTAGACTTGGGCAATTCACAGACAATCTCTGTGTGTGACGAGTTGTGAAACTCTGTAACTATCTCTGTCTTTTGAAAAAGAAGCTTCTTTGATAGGTAGTGACCAGGATACTTGTCTGTAGATTTAAGGATCCATATTACATTTGTCTAGGGATGTGACAGCCTTGGAGTTTTCTTAAGATCTGTGACCTCTCCAACTATGTGTATTTGCCTAGGTTTATAGTCCAGATATGAGTTTCCTCCCATTGAGTGGGCTTTAAGTCCAATTAGGTAGCTGTTGATTTCCCCTAAGATAAAAGTGCCACTGCTATACCAATGTCATTTGCTGTGCTGGTCATTGATATGTTTTTTTGGTCTTGAAGCTGGGGTTGGACCATCAATTGATGTTCTCCCCTAGCAGCTTGCATGGTACTCTCCAAAGCTACGAGAGCTAGCCTTCAGGGGAGGTGGCTTCCAGGTCAGGCCCAGTGCCATTGCTCTGAATCCTGTGTCCAAAGTATGACTTGTCTTCAGCAATAGGGTCTTACTATCAACTTCTGGGAGGCAAATCAAGGACTGTGGCAATAGCCTGTGTAATTTTTGGAGTCTCTGGCCAACAATTCAAAGGAAGGTTTCTCCTGTCTGGTACTGTTTCTTGTTATGTAGCCTTCATTTATACTCACGGACTCATGTAGATATATTGTATGTGTAGCTTTTCAGTAGGTTTTTGGACTAGTACAATTCCCTTTGGTTTTTTATACTAGCTAGGCACTATTCATGTTTCCTCTTTCTCTCCTTGTCTTATTCTCCCTCCCTACTCTCCCAATTTAAAATTTCCCCATTTTCCTCATTTCTCCCTTGATAATTTTTGTCTGCTGTGGTCCCACCTCTCTTGAGCTCCTTCTTATCCTTTATTCCCATAGTTCCTTGTATAGCCCTCCGTCTCCCCCTTCCATTTAACTACCCACTTTTTACACATTTCTCCCTTAGTAATGCCTGTCTCCTACTATTCTTCTCTCCCAGGTTCCTTCTTTCCCTTTACCTCCCTGGTTCCCTTCCATTTTTCTGGTTCCTGCAGTTACATCAGGATATGTATTCACTTATAAGGATTGGGTGCTAGGATCCACAAATGAGGGAGAACCTATGTCTTTTCTTTTTCTGAGTCTGTGTTACTTCACTTAGTATAACAGTTTCTAGATCCATCCATTTACCTGAAAGTTTCATTTTTTCATCTTTCTTTACTGCTGAGTAGAACTCCATTGTGTAAATGTACTACATTTTCGTTAACTGCTCATTAGCTGAGGGGCACTTAGGTTGCTTCCATCTCTTAGCTATTGTGAAAAGAGCAGCAACAAACATGGTTATGCAAGTATCTCTGCAGTATGATGAGTACTTTGGGTATATGCCAAAGAGTGGTATAACCAGGTCATATGGTAGGTTCATTTTTAGTTTTTTAAGGGTTCTCCACATTTTTTTCCATAGGGATTGCACAAGTTTGCAGTCCCACCAGCAGTGAATGAGCATCCCCCTGTCTCCACATCCTCAGCAACATTTGGTATCAACTCTTCTTCTGATCTTAGCCAGTCTCATGGGGGTAAGATGAAATCTTAAGGTGGTTTTAATTTGTATTTCTCTAATTACTAATGATATTGAAAACTTTTAAGGTGTTTCTTAACCATCTTTAATTCTTCTTTTGAGAACTCTCTGTTTAGATCTTTAGCCCATCTTTTCGTTGGGTCATTTGGTTTCTTGATTCTTTGTTTTATTTTTTTGAGTTCTTTATATATTCTGGATGTTAAACCTCTGTCAGATGTGTCACTGGTGAAGATTTTTTCCCATTCTGTGGATTTTCTCTTCACTTTTTTTCATTGTTTCTTTTGCTGTACAGTAGCTTTTCAGTTTAATGAAGTCCCACTTGTTGATTGCTGACCTTAATTCCTGAGCGACCGCTGTCTGATTTAGAAAGTCCTTTCCTACACCTATATCTTGTAGGTTACTGCCAATGTTTTCTTCTAACATTGTTTAACTCTGTTTCTGAGTTTTGAGTTTCATATTGAGGCCTTTGGTCCATTTGACTCTTGTGCATGGTGAAAAATAAGGATCTAGTTTCATTCTTCTACAGGTGGAGATCCACTTTTCCAGCACCATTTGTTGAAGATGCTGTCCTTCCTCCATTGTATGTTCTTGGCACCTTTCTCAAATATCAGGTGGCTGAAATTGTGTTTATTCATGTTTGGGTCTTCAATTATGTTCCCTTGATCTATGTGTCTATTTTTGTGCCAGTAACATGCTGTGTTTATGACTATAGCTCTGCAATGTAGTTTGAGATTTGGTATAGTAATCCCCCCCTCCCCAGCATTTCTGTTTGTGTTCTGTGTTGCTTTAGCTATCCAGGGTCTTTTGTGTTTCCACATGAATTTAAGGATGGCTTTTTCTATTTCTCTGAAGTATGTCATGGGGATTTTGATTGGGATTGCATTTCTTCACATTTTTAAGGGAGTTTGTGTTATATTTAAGACAAATTTCATAAACGTAAAGTTATAACTCATCTTTTGGAATGTAGTGGTAAAGGCTCAGAATTGTAGGATCTGGGTTTGGACCTTACATCTGCCCTTTCTTCTCTGTATAAGTGTCAGTGGATCATTTTACCTTTTCAATTTCACCCAGCTGTGAAATGAAAATGACACCTAATCATCTCATAATTATTGTAAAGATGAGGTATGATCCTGTATGTATAATAGATCTACTATGTAACTAGCACATCAAACATGCATTAAAAATTTATGAGGTCTGAATCTGAATAAAGCCATCAAGAAGTGATCGTAAGACATCTATCTACACCAGAGTATAAAAATGATTTTTGTGCTTAAACATATATTGCAGTTTTCAAAATTATATATTAGTATACACATCATAGAAATACACAAGAGCACAGAGTCCCTGATCAATAGGTGCTAAATAACAGTAAGAGAAGAGTAAGAAGGCCTATGGTGCTATTATACAGTAGAAAAACTATATCGCTAAAAATAATGCATATTTCAGAAATCTAGAAGGACTTCGTATACTTTCACTATAAAAAAATAATAAATATATGAGGTTCTAGACATGTTTAACCGAATTTAAACACAATATATGTATGTATTAAACATCTATAGTACCTTATAAATTTGCATAATTTTATGTTTTATGGTTTAAAATAAATGTCTAAAAACATATGACTGAAGAGAAATGTTGATGTTTCCTTTATAGGTATTGGTTTGCTTTGAGAAATGGTTTCTATGTGGTCTTCAAACATAGCAACAAGGCAAATAACTTCACGGAGGAGCAAACGGATCCACATAAAGCAGCTATAGATACAGCGACCGACTTGAGCATGCTCAGGCTGTTTGAGACCTACCTGGAAGGCTGCCCACAGTTTGTTCTTCAGCTCTTCATCTTGCTGGAGCACGGCCAAGCTCTAAATTTGAGTCAGTGTAAGTCTCGCTCAACACCTCAGGCTAGATGTAAGCCACTGACATCTTACATCCTAACTGTGTAAATCTCAGGCAAGCTTTAGAATATTTTAATTTGTAAAAGAAATTTTCTGAAGAGAAAGTTCAGTAACACGGTTCAAATATCAAAAAGGGTGTAAAAGTACAGTCTCTTTTCTGTTCTTCATGTTCCTTCCCTCATCTGTCCAGAAAGGAAAATTACTATCAGTAATTTGATGATTCTTTCAGAGAGCTTTGTAAAAAGCGTGTGCTATGCTTTCTTTTTTCCTTAAGGCAAAAAAAAAAAAAAAAAAAAAAAACAAAAAGAACACAATCG